CCAGACGGATAGGTCAGAATGTGGAACTGCATGGGAGGATGCCCTCAGCTTATGGAGCTTCAGGGCTCAACATTTTTGGCAAGCTCGGTTGGGACGGCAAGCATCAAACTTGGAAGGTGCTAAGACACCCCCGCCGCCTCCACCTCCGAAAGCCAAAAAAGGCAGCCAGTCTTTCAATTTGGGTTGTGGGGCTCAGCAACTGGGACCGTGTTGCTGCTGTTTTTTTTGTCTGACTGGCTTGTTTCAGCACTTCCCTACAATTCATGTTGCTGACGCAGCAGCACCCACTGTGATATTTATGCCAGGGTCCTGTTCTAGTTTGAGGTGCAGAATCCTGGTTCTTGGCCCTCTGAATGCAGGGCCTTTGAGATCTCCACCATGACCATGAGGCTCCAAGAAAACCTGGATGACTGGCGATGATGTTTTGAATGCAAGTTTCCAGTATGATCATCGCAGATTCGATCACTTGCAAAAATTCATCCTATCCTGTTAAGCCCCCAATCGCCCACTGGTTGCTAATGAGGAGTGGATCCTGATACTAGCAAGAATAATCCCCCAAGAGCATCGTAGCTTCCATCTTCTTATCCCTGCCTAGTGATACGGTGGTTTCGAAATTCATGTTCCATTCCTTCACTCCCTTCTAAACATCAGCAAGCTAAAGGATCCCCAGCTTTTGACCGAAAGCTTAATTTTGTAATCACCTCCCCTAACCAAAGGGATCCAGAGAGCCCAAAGCATGTAATAGTTATAGTCTTTGGGGCCCAATGTAGAGATTATTTGAACACTTCGACCCTTTATAACCACAGTTTTCATTTCCTTTTCCACTTCTTTTCCATTTGAGTCTCCATTGTTGGCATTATACCCTAAACGGCCTGAACCCTAAAAAAACACAAAACCCCCAAAACCCTGTAAACCCTAAACACGTTAAAATCTCAAAGCAACCTACGTAAACCCCTGGATCCCCAGGCCAAGTCTCTCCTTCGAGGTCGGAGCCGAAGTCGGAGCCGAAGTCCAAGGCGCAGGTGCCGCTGCCTTTGCTGGAGTCTGGGGGGTGGAGACAGAACCTACAAAATCATGGGCCCACCTATAAAAAACAGGTCCTTGTAAAAGCGACTTCCATGTAGTTGAGGAGTTTGGGAGAGTTAGGGTGCGAAAGTGTGTTTGGCTGAGGTGTTCTAGGTGTCGCAGAGCGGGTTGGCAAAACTTCTGGGGGTTGCAGCTGGTTTGCGTTGAGTTTGGGACGTCCGTCTAATCCATGGAGGCTTCTTTGAGTATGATTGCATACAGCTATCATACGACAGTACCGTCAATGCATGGCACATCCTGACGTGGGTGCCCTGCAGGGCATTGGTCGCCTTGTGACGCTGTTGTGACGTGGTTGCTTCCATTGTTCTACAGTGTTCTACAGGAGTCATCATTCTGCAGGGAGTGCCCAACTTGTCTATCATTCGGGCTTGAAAGGTGCCAAACAACATCCGGTGCCCCCACTGCGCCTTCGAGATAGACCCCAGGCAGCTTCACAGGCGCGTGGCCAGTTCACAATCCATCTGACCTTCCCTCAGTTGCACTAAGCTGTTCAGAATTGCCAGCTTCTTCGAGTGCTATGGTTTCGACAATGGGCATGAGGATAGGAAACACGCACAGTTGTTGTCTTCGAAGCTTTTCTTACGACCCTATGAGCGTCAGAAGCCTCACCAATGCGAATCCTAAATGGAGATCGCTCCATGCACTCCTGTTGTCTAAGATTCGCACCTGACACAATTGATGCGTGGTTTTTTATCGGTCATAGGAGATATGTGAAGGATGGACATNNTTCGTGACGCAGGGTTTTTGATTGGAAAATGATAACACACTCACCAAAAACGATAGCGACAACATATACACCGCAAATTGGAAAACGATAACACACTCACCAATTTTCCATTGACCAGTTGCCCAGACCTTAAATAAAAACCGTGCATCAATTGGCTTTGGTCTCCTGATTTTCGAGTTGCAGGAGTGCAATCGGTTGTTAGTTGGGCCTGCCCTTGCAGTTCACATATGGAAGTTTCCCTAAATTTGGAGGGGACCCCAATATAGTCCCTTATAGATACTTCCTAAATGAGGGGACCCCCAAAGTGGTACCCATCGCATATACCAGTTTCTTTGATGCGTGGGTGCATGGCATTCAGTCCTGCTGCCCGGCTAAGAACAACACTTATCACAATACAATAGTAGAAATACGAATATAGCAAGTAGAATAATAACAATAGCAACAATAATACAATAACACTACTAACAATACTCATATGGCTGCTCCTCCGACAGACAGGCTGAAAGTGCCGCCTGAGGCTCGTCAACATGAACTAACGGACCTGAGGGCACTCGGGGGGTTCAGAAATGCGATTGTCTTGTGGAGGTGCTATTGAGAAGTTGAAAAAAGGAGTGGTCTATTTCATAATGAGTAGGGGGTCTGTCTGATGCGAGGTGCGTAATCCTAGAGGAGGCTTCCGTCATGACAGATTCGGCCCAGTGTAATCCCCCTATTTGGGGAGATTACCACTTGGATTTGTAGTCCTTGGCATTAGGATTGCGCTTTTGTGGAGGAATATACGAGCTGACATCAGGGTGTGTCTTCTGTGCTTTCGGTGTCGTGCTTGGAACGCAATTGTTGTAAGCCATACCCCCCAACTTTTCGAATGACGGAGATCCAGCAAGTCCTGGCGAAGTGTCGTGAAACCCGCAAACCTGCATTCAACGGAAGAAACAAGTAGTTTTTGCCCACCCCTCGCATGAACGATGTGCACAATCGAGTTCAGTCCATCCAGAACCAAGATCGAGTGAAGCGAAGGGAAACCCCAAAAGCCAAGGCTCCAATCTGAAAGCAACAACTCTGCAAAGCTAGGAAAACCCTGAGGTGAAGGTTCTAGTCTAGAGGTAGAATTTCGTTCGTTGAAGGTTGCTGCTCAAGCCATACTGTCGAGGACCCACAACTCTGAGAATTCCTGCTGCACTGTTTCCAATCAACCCTGCATGGCTACAATTGGAGGCCTTGGGCGTCGTTCCCGGGCCTTGGCAAAGACAGGCGAACGATGCAGGCTTCACCACCCTGCTTTGCATTTGCACATCTGTTGCGTATGGCAATGGGAAAGCTCAGATTTGCCAGGTGGCTACCAGATGACTCCAGCAGCCATTGCGGCGGCGGCCCTCAGCACGTGCATCATGAGGTTCTTGTTGGCTCTAATGTTGGACACTCTTTAATGTTCGGCCCCCCCTAACAATCGGGCCCCCAGAAAGATAGACATTAAGGTCTCAATTAGGGCCCTCAGCCTCCCACGCTTCTGAGGTCACTCTTAAAATGGATTGTGTAGCATCTCCTGGGACCCCAAAATCAAAACACATTATGGGGGCCCCACCATCCTTATCCCTGATCCTAGAGAAGCGGGCCCCAAAACACATTTTAGGGGCCTTAAGCTTAAGGGAGGTCCAATATGATATGGGCGCTGAGATACACCAGGCCATGAGACCTGGAAGAGCATGGCTACAGCCAGGAGACTTGGATTTGTGGCAGCATTCAAGTTGCTCAGCTCCAACACAACAGAATAGTAGCTGCTATGTATCATAGAGAATGGAGACAGCATGACGGAACAAATTATCATTGCATAGGCCACCTGGCAACCACCAAACTAAGCTTCAGAAGTTCAAATCCTGTGGCTGCGTGCTGTGGGTCGCCAAGGCGCCACCACTGCCACCAGGCACCACCCTCCACGGTCAGGCTCCACAGCTGAACGTGGGTAGATGCTGAATACTATGCAGACACAACTTCATGCCTTGCAATCTACGGTAGCAGACCTAGTTTGACAGCAAAAGAGTGTACTACACATGCTTCTCTAGTTTCTCCAATGACTCCAAGCAACCAGCGCTGACGGAGGTGCCCTCCTCATTCTTCCATACGTCTCACGGTTGCCTGCTCAGTTCTGGTTTGCTCAGCAGCAGCAGCAGCAGCAGCAGCAGCACGATGCATTTTTAGACGGAGCATTAATTTGCAGAAAAGCCCTGCAAGCTGCGAAGGTTGGTGGGCACAACCCTCCGGCTCGCAAGGCCCATGATCCCAAGATGAGATTCAAGTCTCTTTGTGCTCAGCGGTGGCCGCAGACGAGAGCCCGTGCTCGGAGGGAGTGGTGCTTGGGTACGAAGCCATGCTTGGCGTGGCAAGAAGCATCCGCGACACATGATGGCCATTTGATCTGCCCATGGTGGCGGAGGGAGAGGTCGTCGACAGAGGCTTGCATTCCAACCTCGGGTGTAGGCAGCTGGATGAAGAAGTGCGAGTGTACCGCGACCTTCAACTCGCTGAAAAAGATTTGACAAAGCCGGGTTCTGGATGCTCTTCGGAGGCAACTGTTGTAGAATGACCTTGCATGCAATCGGTAGAAGTTCTTAGAGCTCGGCGCCCACGCTTACTTTCCATGCAAGAATATTAAACCACCGCCAAGCTGGGTTGTGTATCCGTACAGCTTGCCACCAACAAGGTGCAACATGTTCGTCCATGCAGGCTGATCGGTAAGAACGCTTGCAGGGCTGATAGTTGCTACAACTTCCATGATGGGCAGGCAGAGTTTGCACCAGAGTGCGGGCTGGACCTGGCTGGAACCTCTCCCACAAAAATCGTACGAAAGCGGTACCCTGGAAGTCTGATCTGGCTTCGTTCAAGAATAAATTGAATTCATTAACTCAGTCCTCAGAATGTAAATATATCTAAATGGGTCACAGTCCTTTGCTCGTTTGACTTGCAGATTCGGCTTTCCCGGAACCTACTGAAAGTCGTGCAGCCTTGCAGGGCCACTTGCATGTTCTGCATGTGTCGCCAATTCGCAGCCATTTCCACGCCAGTTTTGCAGTCAAGCCCATCCAGTGCATGCCATGTTATGGTTGAACCAGCCACTGCGCATGCATTGGAAGTTTCAGCACATACTGACCTGCAATGCTGGGGTAACATAATTGCAGATGCTAGTGCTGAGGTCTGATGATAGACTTGCTCCTCTGGATTTTCAGTATCCTCCAGGCAAAAGACACGTGGGCTTGGTGCCATTCTACTTTCCGAGTCGAAAAACAGATGCTTGCACGTCACAGTGTGTGGCAAGTTTGTTTGTCGGTCTGCGCGCGCCATGCCGTTTGACAGTGAACCGAGGAATGGGACAGGCGCTGTGGCGGCGCATTCTTGGGTAACTTCTATGAAGCTGGCTACCGGGCCATTAGGGTCAAGATCGATGGCCGGATCCGGTGGTTCAGCAACGCTGAGAGCGCTTTTCAGGCTACAAAATTCAAGGAGCCGAGTTGCCGAGGTCATCTTACATAGTTTTACACAAGGTGGAAGGGCGCGCTAGGAGGAGGATGGCTGCTCCTTGCATTTGTGACAAGTCGCCGCAAAGGATCAAGCCTGGCGCTTCGAGCAGCTCAGTGGCGAAGAAGCGTTTCAACTGAAACGCCGGCTGCGAGGTTGCTTGTTCAGAAATTTGAGATCATGTATCTTCTTCTGCTCCACGTTGTTGGTTGATGGGGCGTGTTGTAGACAATTTGGGGGCGGTACGCTTGCATAGCGCTCAAGAGCTTAGCACGGGCTATGGAGGGCAAGTGGCCACATCTCGTGACACACCGCGGGGCAGGGCGCGTACTGAAGCATGCGCAACCCTCACGAACTTCCAGCTTGCTCATTCTGATGTATCTTAGATGGCAGCCTAGCGAAAGAACTCTGGCAGAAGAGCAACAGCAGGCATGACACATGGCTCATCTGGTTTTGTGATCACTGCTATGTGTGTATGCTCATGACCCCAACCGCAATTCTAGGGCCATGCTTGTTGCCCCAAGGTTCTGAGGATTGGGACTATGGCGGTCACGGAAGCAATTGGAACGCAATGTGGCAGGTACTGCCTGTTTCAAAGTCAGGCTTAGTGCTACACGGTCCCGTCCAAATGATTGAAGCTTGCGTCGATCACCAGAGCGGAAATCCTGGGCCCCTGGTCCCAGGTGCTGCAGTCAAAGTTCTGGCCAGGCACAAAGTGGGTGACTTGCGCAGCACCAGAGCCCAAAGGATGTTGCAGGACCATTTCTGTAGTTGCCAACGTAGCCTGCCCAAACATAGCCAAGAAGCCCAAAATCGGCCTTGGCATTCTAACACATGAGGACAAGCCTGCGAAACAAATCCCTCGTGGCCATCAAAATTCTTGCCTTGGTTAGCTAGGAATGAAGAAATTCCCTATGTAACCCATTGTAGTAGTTTCCATGTCCTTTTCATTCCTTCATTCCCAGCTAACCAAAGGTAAGAATTCTGAATTCCCAAGCCATAGTTCAGGCTAGCAAGCTGCTCGAGACTGACGATGCTTTCCTTCTGGAGCACAATGAGGCCGCTAGCCGGACTGACGTATTTGGAGCGACGAATTCGATGTTCAATCATCTGTGCCTGTCGTACCAAGGCTTGATGCCTTTGCTTGTGGGCCGGCGCTGTCAAGCTTACTCTGCCCAGCTGGTACATTGCAAACATCAGCCTCCAACGGGCGGGAGTTCCCCGTGCAAACCCGAAAAGAGATGCCCATATTTGGATACCACATCATGCCTCCAGGAAGAGAGTGAGAGCCGAGATTCTTGCCCTCATGCCCTCGAAAACAACAACAAGTGCAGTTTGCAAGGCAAAGGGCCGAGACGAGGCGGCCGGGTTCTTGATGGCCAAGCTTTGAATACAATTCTTCTGCATATTATACACATGTAATACATACAGATGATTAATGAAGAAGATTCAGAAGATCATTCGAGAAATCTATCCACGTAGTATTGCTCTATCAACGACCATGAACCGGTGAGCTATCGAGCTTTCTGTACGATGCTTCGCAAAATCGTTTCATAGGCGATTGGAGAAGCAGCCCCAAGTCCTTTCCGCAAAACAGTTACCTTTTTTTGAAGCTGGTTGATAATGAGGACAGTTTCAACAAAGCTCGGGGCTGTTGATTGCTGGGACTGTTTCGTTTGTGTATGAGGGACTTGGCACTGCACAGGATCCTGGTACATGTGCACGAAGGTGGCTCGTAGGATTGAGAACTTGCATGGTTCATGAGGGCCAAAAGCTCTTGAAGCCCCGCGAAAGCATTAGGAACCCTGCAAGATGTACTGCCAGAACGTGATAAGAAACGAATGAGCACAACCGCCCTCGTCCCACTTGCGGCTGCGTAAAAGGCTTCTAGCCATTTCTAGCCCAACTAGATCTTCTCACACACTGTTGTCTCCCTGGATGCAGAGTAAGGTCGATTGGGAAGTGTTGGGTTCCAACTGGAACGTTTTCTTGATGTACACCACTCCTCGCATGTCAGCTGTCATGCGCATTCGTATGTAGGATTGACTAGATTGTTTGTACGCATTTCTCGATAGCCATTGCCCAAGAATTAGCTGCGGCTGATTTCTTTGGACGGCATAGATTTAAAGGCCAGTGTTCACGGTATCATCACAGTTTTGGAAATGGAAGGGCACCTCTAGCCTTGAACAAGCTAGCCAATGCGGACCGTACACAGCTCCACGGGCAATGGCAACCTTTGCTCACAGAAGCAGACACTCCAACCTCGACAACCAGGTGTGGTCAGATGACTGTGACGGAGAGGGCCACAACTGGCTTGGACTTCAGCTCATGATCCTCAGGGAGAACCTCAAGAAGCGCCTCATGGTCTGCAAACACTTCGTGCGTATAGTATGAACCCATATCACTGCCTCCCCGCACCCGGGTATTCAGAATGCTTCGCGTGCATGAATATATGGTTTTTTCACCAACTCCAGCCAAGGATGTGGCCGACATAGCGCGACATGGGGCTGGCTCTGCAAAGATCCGCTAAATGGGCGCCGGCCACATGCGAACAACGAGTGGAAGCAAACGGTCAGAAGGGCTGCCACCAGAGCTTGCCAATGCTTCTGCCACGTCCGCGCAGGCCAAGGTGCTTCTCTCTCTCTCTGTCTCCCTCCTTTTGGCAGTCTGGCTGACACTGACTTGTGGCAGGGCCACCGCAACACTGTCCATCACCGCGACACTTACCAGCTGTGACTGGGTCTGCTGTCCAGGACTTGCCACCCAGCATCATCGGCCAGCATGTCTATGTACAGGCTCTAGCGCCAGGATTCTGCCAAGTGTCCCGCAGCACAGGACAGGGCTGTTCCCACACCAAAGCGCAAGGGCGAGATCCAGGCACCCATGACAAACAAGTCACATCTCAAGACTTGGGAGTGGCTTGCTGATGACTGAGGGTTCACAAATCGAGCTGCAACCGCGCAGTTGCAAAGAGACATCGCCAGTGACGGCATGCGAGCTCTGGTGAGAAGTTACAGCACTCATTTCCACCTTTCGCGGGTGCCCTCAGTCTATGACTTGCCAGATGAGGGAAGACAAATCTCGGGAAAGGAATGGTAGCTTTTTGATCAAAACCTGTGAACAGTTGGTGCCTCATGTTACGTGATGCTGAATGCGAGGCATCCCCAAACAAAGCAGCGGCAAGCAGCAGCTATCTCTTCTTCGATTACGAAGAACTCGAGAACTCGTACGACATGCTGCCATGACCTCAGTTTCAGCTTTGCTGATCACAACAAACTAGGCGAGTATTGCATCACTCGCCTCAACGCGCAATGCCACATACAATCTGGGAGATTCGACTTCTGTTGTAGAAGAGCCGGCTGAACGAGCCATAGCTCTGCGGTGACTTCCATGTTACGTCCAACAAAGGGGTCAATACAGAAGGCCCCCTGCATGAACCCACCCCCTAGAAATCTAATCGTGTCGTGCTTGGAATGGCAGTGCTACTCATGGTACATTCATTGTGTGCCGTGGTATGCCGTCGCAACCGTGGATTATAGCGTGTCCTCATGAGCCAGCTGGGCATGATTTTGTGGCAGCCGAAGGTTACCGCGGATTATGCAACGTATCTACTATTTAGAGTCCTACTTGGAGAGTGTCCCTTCAATTCCAGGCCAGCTTGTAAAGCATCCCATCGTGACAAGAAATTTGAATCTGATGGAAATTGCATGAAGAACTGTGCGCTGCCTGCTAAGGATCGGATCACTTTCATTCATTGCAGTATAATAACTGGCTGAAGCCTGCACAAACCCCCTGCAGCTAAATGCAATTCCTAGCTTTGCCGTCCTATCTTAAGTTGAACTGTCTATTCGAGGTTGCAGAAGCAGACGGCGGTTTCCACTACAGGTGAGGTCATGACGGTTGTGAGTTTTCTGGACTGCGTGAAGAGGTCGCCCCCTATGCGCAAGTTGAGTACATTCTGGCAAGAGATTCAAGAGCTGGTTCGCCACATCTGCTTCGTCTGGCAAACTCTTTGGAGCCGGAATCAGCGGCAAGCAAGTTCTCCCTTTCTGCCTGGCGACATGGACTTGCACTCCACCGCACGTGGGCGTTCGGTCAGGATGCCTGCTTGGCCGGCCTTGATGATGTTGGTCTTGCTTCTGGCGCATAGGGGCGCTTTGGCATGGCAAACTCTGATACGGATGGAAAGGGCTGTGAGCAACACTGCTTCAAGAGGGACCAGGACAGAACCCCGCGAGCTCCCTTCACTCAACCCTAGTCAGGATGAGCATGATCTTGCATTCAGGCAGTCGCAAACTAAGCCTTGAAGACTTACTTCAAATGTAATAGATAATGTGACTAGCCTGTCAGTCCAGGAGCAATCCGCAGTTTCAGATGCCAGCGTGCCATGTGCGACTTAAGCTATGCGGACCTACCTTTGAGACGCGGTGGGCTGTGGACTTCCCTGGCTTGGACGTTTAATTAGTTGGTTGTTTGAATGGCACAAATGTACAGAGAAGTCATTCAGAGAGGGTGAGGCAACCCAATCCCATGTGGATCCAAGAGCTGCCTTCCTTGCCCAAAAGGTGTGACGCTCAGCTGCCCTCATCATTGTTACTGCTGTTCCTGTTGTTCTTATGTTGGTCCTTGTTGTCGTTACGTAGACTTACTATCCTCGTTATTGTTGCTGTTGCTGTCTCGCATGTTTGTCCCTTGCAGCTGCTTTGGCCCAAGCCTTCTGACACGGCTGTCCTTCGACCCACGTGTACTGGCCAGGGGCTTACCTGCATGTGAGCAGATGCACAAGACGTTCTCGATCGAATTGCTTTCACGTTTCAGTGGTCCCATACCAAGTCCTGATGAAGCCTGAGGAAGAATGGCGGTGTTGGTGGCGTATGTCGACACCGCAGCAGTCCCAGCCTATGTCGCTTCTGTTTGGCCTCCCTCGTGCAGTTCTCAGGTGGAGCAGGTCGACCTGGCTTGCGGGTTCTGTCTACAGCAGGACTCTCGTAGGTGGCCATCTTGCAGTGTAATCAAGCACTTCTTTTGTTTGCCCGCATCCTTGTTGAATCCTCAGGCTGCCGTTAATGCGCCCTTAATGTGATTTGCGCATCCAAAACTTCACATTTCGCATGCGCAGCGTTGCAGGAAGCCGTGGCAATTGACGCTGAGGGAACCAAACAATCTGTACGTGCGTTCACGATCGACATATTGACCATGTCAGTCACTACAGACATGGACATATATGTCTACGTGTTCGACATCAAGAAGCTCGGCCAACAGGCGCGATGGTTTTGAGACAGCTGAAGCACGACTACTTGAGAAGCTAGGTGAAAGCACGTACTCTTGGGCTAGATCTCCATCTGTTGTACCTAGGAGTCGAGCTCAGGCACCTTCAACTCATTCAGAGCCCACCTAGCTACCAGTAGCACGACGCATCATGTTTAGACTGCTGTCATGCATGGAAGGTACACTGCGCGATATGATAATGCCGTGGAGTATGTACATCCCCCGCTGCTAGAATCCTGTCAGAAATTCCTGGAGAAGTTCAAAGCCCTGAGAGGCCTTCGGGGAAGCATCCCAAGGGCGATTGCGCACCTTGCTAGAGGGTGCCGGCTGAATTGGGTGAACAGGCGCAACAGTTGTTGAGTCATCGCCCATATCTGGATTAAGCGCTTTACAAGTTTAATGGGCCATCCCAGATCCATGCATGCGCTCCTTGAGAGTCTGCTACTGCAGCGCCTGCAATCGGATGCAATCGGAAGTTTGAGTTGCTCATTAATTTTCTTGTAAATGCCTTGTCCAGGAAGTTGCAAGATAAACTTGAGTAGCATGGACCTCTGTTGTTCAAGGTGCCGCAAGGTTCGCAAACTGGTTTGGGATGGTCGATGTGATGCCGATGCCCTATACCAAGAGTTCGGAACTTTGATCGCAGTTCCGCTTCTCTCTAGACTGTCTGGCTTGACGAACAGGTCGCTGTGAAACCTCATGCTTGAACAAATTCAGACGTTGCAAAGCACGCGGGTAAGACCTTGTTGAGACCAAGGAGTTCTGCTATCCGACTACACCCTCGACCTGCAGGTGGCCTCCGTTCTTGCCATGCGCCGGCAAGGACTTCCACACAATCGACTGCCAAGCTGCTTCTTCAGCATGGCCTACCAAATGTGTGAGACGGCTTTCTGCAAGGATACCAATATGATGAAATATCCCATTAAGGAGAAAACCCGAAACAGACTTGCAACCTCTGAGTGCAAGGCGTGCCTCTGAACTCCAGCAAGTGTTTATTACAAATGGTTTTCCATGCAGACTTACCAAAGGACATGTACGCTGAGGCCTGGAAGCGGGCCTTGCTCACAGCAACGTACTTACCGCAAGCGAGCTCGTCAAGTTCAAGGATCGTTCCGCGCTGACAGGGGTCTCTACGAAGTATAGGTTAGCAGCATTGCAGGATGAAGCTCTAGCATGAAGTGCTGCGTCCTTCTCATCATGTGGTTCAACGACCTGGTAAGGAATAGCGAAGACGACCGAACAGCTGAAGCATACTGCGCGGGATGCATGATACCGTCTAAGCCAAGCCTGAAACACAAATCCCGACGCAGGAGACCAAGCAGAGCATTCGTGGCCGCTTTGCTGCCGAGTTCCAGAGCATTTGGCGAGCCCGTCCGCTGACTGAAGAAACCTGTTTGCAGCTAGCTCCGATTGGCCAGCAATTGCGGAACCCATCCCCGTAAAGCAGCTTTGTGAAGCCCGCATGCCTGAGACTCATGCTTGAGGGTCAGCACGCAAGTCGTTGGGCGAATGTGTGCTCCAGCTGAAGACACATGTGCTGAGAACAAGCCGCTGACAATGCAATCCACTCACCACCCCTTCGAATTCAGTGCCCGTGTTGAGGAGCTCCTGGCATACTGCACCCACTGGTGGCCATGGTGTGCCGAAACTACGGTGTGTGTGGGGCCAGCAGGTTACTTGTGAAAGCTGACCGTAAAATTTGAAGTAGCATGGCACTTGGGCTCAGCTATCGTGGTGGGCATCACTGCCTCGGCTCAGGACGTGATTCACCTGCATGCCATGGAAAAACTCCTTCTGCCTCCCGATCTTTCTGACGACACGCGGCATCGACTCCGAGCCATTTCGACGTGTCCTGCTAGCAGAAGCACTGTGCAACCGTTTGACATGTTGGTGTCTTGAACGGGGGTATACAAGTGTTTGCTCCGAACTCGCGTTCCCCTGAACCACACCTGAATGCCTCAAGCTGAGGGCACGCCTGGCTGAGCGAATTGCAGCCTTGTGTGTGGAACAAAGGCTGGCTACATGAGTCACGGTAATGGGGCTTGCATACCCGGTAAAAGGTCACTGTTGCTTTGGCTACATACTGTAATTCATTTTTTGGAAGTTGGAAAGGCAAGGTGCGGAGCTGCCGGGGATGGTCTTTTGAAGCTGCCGCAACTCTGTCAAGTGGTAAGCAACTTAAGGATTTTGTGCTCGGACAAGCACTACAGGCTCTTTCAAAGTATCCTTGTTACATCATGATAATGTTTTACGTGTGCTGTCAGAGAGCCAGCCAGTGCTCGAGGGAAGTTGCAAGGGTGGAAAGATGTGAGCGACAGCATGAAGACTTGACTTATGGGAAGGAGTTTTATAAGAGGGTCCTCATATCGATGGTGGATGTTGCAACAACAGGTGCGCGCTTCAGTGCGCGTCAGTATTTTGCGGGCATATTGTCCGCGATAGCTCGCAATCTCAGCTTGAAAACATGGGGCAAAGTGTGGCTAGCAATGCGAGCACGTCAGTCAAAACTGTGCGCGCATCAGAACAACGTCCGGTTTTCTTTCACATCCCCTTCGCGATAGCTCGCGTCAGTGCAAACGAACAGCAAAAGCTGGCGATGTGCTGGCGCTGGGATCGCGTCAGTGACATGTATCGTTCTGCGATACTGATTGATACGAGAACAGAAGGTTCAAAGGGTTTTCGACACAGCTCACTTGGAAGCAGGTGCAGTGCAGCGTTTGCTGTTCAGGTGCAAGCTTGACTTTGTTGCGGATCTGACAGCCAACGTGGCCAAGATCTGGCAGCGCGGGCTCGCTCTCCGCAAGGAATTGGAAGATCCGCAGAGGCGCGCAAAACTCTGGCGTTCAGAAGCCAACAATCGGGCGGGGCTTCACATGAGCATCCTCAGTGATGTGAGTCAGAACTTCACCTAGTCTTGTTGGCTGCGCTCACAAAGTGCAAGGCGAGACGCTGTCCTAGCCTCAGCTTCTTCCACTTGACAGGCCGAGCAGCGTTTTGGAAGACGAGACGGATGAGTCATAGACAAGTCATGAAGTGGCACGTTAATGCATATTCTGCCAATTCCCAGGCAGGTGTGGTTTGGGCTGCCACGGTATACAACGCCCCTTGGGCGCATCTTTAGGAGAAGCTGGCTCGTCTCAAGAGTACGGAGGCTTGTGTCATGAGCATTTGCCGGCAGCCCCACACACCATGGAGCCCTCTCCATCTGAGGACCAAGTGGTGCACTGCAAGCTTTTGCAGCGGCTGCTTCCGAGGCTGGGTCAATTTGGGCTGTGCTCTACACTGTCCCTCCCTCTTCCAGGAACCAAACTACACAATGTGCGGGGTGTGTTCTTGCAGGGACTTATTATGCAATATCACTGGCCAGCAAGAGGCCGCCTCCTGTCTTCAGGACGTGGCGACGGTGAAATGTCCAACGGACGATACGGTCCATGGGGCATTTCGATCACCAGCCAGAGTACACATATGTACACATGATATGAGATTGATATGGACGGGCGTTGTTGCGGGGTCTGTCCATAAGCATCATGTTTTTTCAGGAGGTAGAACTTGGAATCGCGTTCGGGCCCCCCCTCGAAAGTAGTGAACATAACGCCTGCCCATGGAAGGTTTGCAGGCAAAGATGAAAAGCTGCGCCGCCACCTCAGCTTTCTGTCTCAACATCCTTTCGAATTTCTGGTTAGTCTTTGGCCAGGAGTGCAGGTTAGCACCGCAGGTGAGAGGTCTAGGGCTGCAGATCTCGTTGCAATTGTTAGACTGTTAGATTGAACTGGCTCGGCGGCACGCTGGCAGAATTCAGCATGTACCTCAAGTTCAGGAGAAGTTATCGAACGAAGTCCTCACTTGCTTCTTCGATCTGCCAGGTGGACATGTGGAAAATCACCCATAGTGTGCAGCAAGCTGTGAGCCAAAGTTGTACTCAACATGTCTCAAACATATTTGCAGGCCGAACACCGGCGAAAAGTTTTCGGTCACACTGCGAGGCTTGATGTGCCACTGCCTGTTGTTCAGCCGGACAGCTGGCATACGTTCGGACAAAGTGCAGTGCCCTCCCGTGAATGAGCTCCATTGCGGAAGAGGCTTCATTCATGTGACTGTTGGTGAGCTGGATGTTTGGACTGCCACTTTAGAGTTCAGACTGGTGAGTTCCTGTGACTGTGGCACCATCTTGAAAGAGTCAATGAACAGATCCGTTGCAGCTCGGCAGAGGTGATGATGAAAGTTCGCCGCGGCTGCTGCCCGCCCTCAACGACGATGAAGCGGAGAAGAGGATTAAGGCATACATTCAGGCTGCGGGGAGCTGGGGGCGGCACCAACTTGCCCAAAACCGACACTAATAATTAGGACTAATGGAAGGAATCCGCACGGCCGTTCTTGTCAGCCTGCAGGTATGCCCAAGCTAGCCAACCCTTGAAGCTACGGATGCACATCCTTTGATATCTGAAAGTGCCATGTTCAAGCTTGGGACAGACCCAGCGCCCGTCCGGCTCGGAGATGGCGGGGCCCTCATGTCAAAACAGACGTGCTGCAGTATGTGCACGGCATCTTTGTTGCTGAGTCTAAACAGTAATCAGGCTGTTGCCAAGCAGATGCACGACGATGTCTTGATCCGGGATCTACTGTTAGCCTCTTAGTCTCGCAGCTTTTTCTGGGAGAGCACAGAGAGGAACAGACAGAACTTCAGGCCAACAGGCTATAGCAAGATCTTGCAAAAGCTCCTTCGAGACCGTCACCTGGGTTCTGCACCTAGGGCATGCCGGCATGCCGTGTACCCGTGACCCCTTCGGTAGACGGCTGATTATGCGATCAGATCAGTAGTCGACGAGGCTACCGCACAGTGGGGCCGAAGAAAGAAGGCAGGACGGCTACCAAGATGTTGGTGGTGTGGGAGGACAGGATGGGGATTATGGAGTTGAAGATGAGCAACGCTGCATCTGAATAATTACGAGTATTTCCCAAAATTACGGCTACCATGTTGGGTGGTCTCTATGATGAGGATCAAGGGGGTCTATACTGGGGTCCCTCCATTTATGGAAACTACCATATGGGTTCTTCTCCAAATTATGGGCACCTTTGTATTACGGCACAAAATGCACAAAATATATTTAGGGGTACCATAATGGGACCCTAATCTTGGGAACTACCCTAAACCCTACACGCTAAACAGTTACTAGCTTCCATGTTCTTTTCCATAATCCGTATATAACCCTACATACCCCTAATTTTGGGAACTCCCCACAGGTTTCATGGCATTTCAAACGTGCAGGAGAGCCAGGAAGCGGAAACCTGGCAGAAGAAGCAACTTGGACGGCTGGACAGTGACATCAGGACGGGAGGGGTTTAGGTTTGGGGTTTAGGGGCTAGGGTCTAGAGTTTAGGGCTCAGCCGATGGTTCGTCGAGAATTTTGAGGAGTATGGGTCATTCAATGGTTACAGGACACATTCGAGGGACAATTTACTGTAGGCAAGCATGCTGAATTGTCATTGCTCGCTGTTGATTGAGATTCGAACAGAAAACGTGTGCAGAAAACGTGTGCGCTTGCTTGGGCTTTGCTTTTGCTACTTGGGTTAGTCAAACAATCTTGGGGTTTGTTGCCTCATGTTCAGGGTGCTATGAACGTTGGCTCGGAAGGAAGTACTTGGAGGAGCCTTCAAGAGAGCCTCCCATGTTGTTGAGGATCGTTCCAAAGACCTTGGCCTCAGGGTGTAGCATGGATATGTCCTTGCAGAAAGGATTTGCATGTGCCTGGACTTTTTGTATCCCACTCGGATCCTACATGCACTGTATTTCCCAAAGCGTGAAGCTCATGAATCCTGTCTGCAAGCACCTCAGACCATCCCAGCCCTAGACATCAACCATCATCAACCCCAAATGGTGCCCACCTCTGCGAAAGACGAAGTGATGTCAGGGATATCGTCGAGCTTATCCAGGTCCTGGGTAAAGTGTGCTTGACTCAGAAAGATTCTTTGAATCATTGGACCTTCGCAGGCCTCTGCAAGTTGTTGAGTTCGTAGCGATGGTTGAGCGCAATTGTGTTGATCTCTTCCGCATTCCCGTTGCAGCATGCGCTTAATTACTAGGATTTCCATTCCTCGTGAAGCCTCCTGAGGTTCGCTGATGTACGCCAGCTTGAACTTGCAACGCAATGCCGGCATGGAGCAAACGTATACAGTACCGTTGTAAGAGGCTGGCATTCCCTCAGCGTAGAGCGAGATGGCTGAACGTATTTGAACGTCTTCCGTGAAGCTTATGGGCCAGGATCAAACGTCATATCCAGCAGACCTGCGGAAAGACCGTTAATGAGGCCCGCCCTTCCCTGCAGCTGACCGGCAAGCTTGCCCTGACTCATTGCACGTGTTTAGGGCCTCAAAACACGCGGGGATGCAAACTAATGCACAGCATAGGAATTAAGGAAGGATGGGCCCACAAGTTACAGCAGCCCCACCGACCCCTGCAAAACGATAAGGGTGAAACTTGGAACGATCATGCTAAATCAGTTTAATCCCTTCTCCCCTATGGAAGCCCGCGGCAATAACAAAACCCTCGGCCCAAGAACCACAATCCTGGTAAAGTATTGTCCAAAGTGCCCAGATTATAAAGGGGCCAATTACTGTAATAATGAATTAGGGGTTTTCCCGAGGTCACTAAGGGGCATTGGATAAGGAACCAAAAGGGAGGTGTTGCTTCATATGATTCGTAAAGGATTTTGCAGAAAGGAATCTACTGGAAATCTGCTTGGAAGCATCGGTGTCTCCAGGGTGTTCTATGTTGTCATCCTTGCGTAAGGTTTTTCGATGAAGGAAGTTGATCAAACTATAAAATAAACTAAGAAGCTGAATTAAGGGACGACCGTTGATACGTTTGTGTACAGGAAGTTATATAAACGGATCATAACGGATCTAATGGATCTGCTGGATCTATTGGCAATCTTGAAACTCTAAATGAATTCGGACGCCCTCCATTTCTTGTAGTTTCCCATTTTAAGAAATTAGGCTCTCATTGGTTTCTGAGGCTACCAAGGGCTAGGGGCCGCGGGTAAAAGAAGCAATACTGATTGACACCAGATGGGACCTTGTAATTCTTTGCAATACAAACTCCCCCCAAGAATGCAGAGTTGGTTAAGTCACTAGGGGAAGGAAGGACGACGTTTATTCGAGGGGAAGCAGTTAGAACAGGAGCAGCAAACTTGTCTTTCGCCTTCTTGTAGAACTCTGAGAGACGAACCTTGACACCTTGAAGTCCAGGAAAAAAATATGGAATGACATGCTTGTATGTCAATGTACTGGGTTTAGCTAGTTCCGCATAAATGCTGCAAAATGATAAGGAGGAAACCAAAACGACAATGCTGCTCAAAACCAAAGATTCGGCTCGGGTTGTTTTGCATCCCCACACACCCTGGACCCTTTTATTCGCGCAAAGTCTTGCCATTGAAATCCTGCGACAGGCCTGCCTGTCCGATCAGTATGTTACTCTCAAGGAGCTTCTGCAGCGACGGGCGGTCAAGGCCGCGCTGCACACGGTTTATGGGTTAGAGCGTGTGTAGATTGTTCTGCAGACTATTGACCAGTTGTTGCTAGGGCTAGCCGGCTTGTAACAGAAGTGCTGAATTTTCATTCCAAAGACCTGTTCACTAGCTGTTGGCAACGTGCTGCCAGTTGGCGGGCTTCCGCGTTTTCGAGGATGGTTCAAAAGCGATGCTGATGCATGATGGTGTGAGCGCTGCTCCACATCCAAGTATCAAGAACACTTTTTTTGACATGGATGAGAGTGAGGCTCAGAAAATTCAGAGTCTGACACGCAACAGGTCCGAGTCGCTGCCACCCAAGCCAAGTGTATAGGAAAGGCATCATGGTCTGATGATGTGGCTGGGATTAGGTCCTGTGGGGAGCAGTGCTTCCGCAGTGGCAGACGTTGCACAAGTTTAGTTCCGAATGAACCGAGATGATCTTCCGGACCAACAGTGAGGCCAGTTGTGTTACGAGGATCCGCAATGGGATGACGCATTTCGAAATATAAGTGTACACTTAACCAACTTACGAAGATGGCGCGAAAGGTCCAAAGATAATGTATAGTAGGCTTTCCCAGCTGACAAGCGACACAGATGATATGTGGGAGCTTATATTACAGTACCACAGACCAGGGTCATCGTAGGCTT